CCAATTCTTCCATCTCTGTCATGGATTCTTTATCTTCTGGACATATCAGGTAATGTTCTTCTCTCTTTCTCTACTTTCACTTTCTACATGCCCTTGCCTATCAGAAACAAAAAAAAGGGGTGAGGTCTCTCATGTAATAAATAATAACTGAAAAAATAAAAGTTCTGTTTAGAACCATATCATCTTCTAGCCACCACCCTTTTTCTCTACTCCCTTTCATAGCCAAATTTTTGGAAATTTTTAGCCTTGTTTATAACCGCACCCTTCATTCATCTCAAATCCAATCAAAGAGTTTTCCTGATTTTACCTCTTGAATCTCTCTCAGTGTCATTCACTTATCTATATTCCTACTCTGGTCCAACCCATGATCATCTTTCCCTTAACAATAACCTCCTATCCTGTCACAAAACAGTATGTGTATTAGTTATTTAATGAGAAACTAATTTGCTCTGTAAGCCTTCATCTAAAGCACAAAAAAAAAAAAAAAAAAAACCTCCTGTCTTTCTTATATTCACTTTTTCCCTTCAGTCTTCTCCACACAGCAACCAAAATGATATTCTAAAAACTTAAATCTGATCATGTAACTCCCCAATTAAAAATCTCCAAAGTTTTCCATTGACTTAGGATAAAATGCAGTACCATCATCATGGTCTAAATAGTCTTATGGGATCTGGCTCCTATCTTAATTTTAATTCTGTAGCCTACCCTGGCTTCCTTATGCCATAATCACACAAGTTTGTTTTTAGATCCTTAAAGGCCCTATGAGCTTACCAACTTGGAAGATACTCTGTGTGAAATATTTCTTTAGCATTCACCTCACTCTTACTTATCTTTTGGATTTAAGTTTAAGTTTACTTTCTCAGAGAAATGTTCCCCAACCCTCCCAGAGAAGTTTAGGTCTTCCAGATATATGTTCTCATTGTACCTTGTAATTTTCTTTGTAGCACTCATCATAATTATTATAACTTACTTATTTGACATTTATTTTCCTTGCTAGATGTAAACTTCATAAGAATCTTTGTCTTGTTCAGTGATGAATTCCCAGCACTTGGCTCACTGCATGAGATCTAGTAGGCATTCATAAATTTGTTGAATGGTTGAATGAATAAAATAAGGACATGTTAAGAGTATAAAACATGATAAAAACTTAAATATTTTACAATGAGAACAGACTTTATTCGTATAGTGAGATAAACTACAGAGACTGAAAGACAAAAATTCATCATAAATCAGTTAGCAGAACATTCATTAAAAATCAAATACCATTTTCTTTAAGTTCTCACACAGAAAATTTTATTTTTATATAAGTTTGATACAGCATTAAATATATTGCAAATTAGACATTTCATTTTTAAACCTAATTGTATGATCTTGAATGCACTATAGACAAATAAAGTAAGATCTTTACTGGTTTCACTTCATTTGACTTACACAAGGCTTCCATTAAAATTCCATTATACCTTGAAAATTACCTGCAGATCTTAAAAACAGATAAAGTTTAAATGGAAAGAAATTCTCATGTTGTAATCCAAAAGTCAAAAACAAACCAAAAAACAAAAATAGGTAAGAAGCATTTCTTAATATAAATAAATTACAAAATATCATCTAGGTATGAGTTTCTTTCTTCTTATTGGCATGGTCATCCAACTCAAAATCAGTTCATTCTGAAACTGATGATTAAAATACACCAATGCCATTGAAAATCTCTATTATTTTAATGGTGCTCTAAAATGGCAAAGTAGTACCAGATTAGAATGTCCCAACTCTTATGCTAAAGTGAATGAGACTTGTTCACATTCATGTCAGGTGTCATTTGCTATGCTGTTACTCTATAGACCTCCTGGCAACAAGTTATCCCAGTTTTTAATAACTTATTAAACTAAGACATTTAAAGAAACACTTCTTACCCCTATGTATTTCCAGATTGCCAAGGAAGGTCCAATTATCTCTGAAGTATGGGCCTTATAATAGGAATGTCTATACTAAAATATGAAAAGGGTCAACAGAAAGAATTCATATCAATGAAATTCTGTGGACTGATTTTCAAAGTTAGAAATAAGTATATCTGCTGCTAATGGAAGCCCTGCTCTGTACAAACATAGTGTGGTATATATTAAAAATCACACATCTGAGGTATAGCTGGAGAAAAAAAATATATATGTATATATTTATGTACACACACACACACAAGTATACATGGACACATCCAGAGTATTCACAAATCTATTGGCCCCAACACCAGCAGATAATCAAATTAAATGAAAAGGAATTTTGTACCAACAGGATATAGTTACAGAGAATTTACAAAAAATGTGGTTACATAATCCTTAATATAAGGAGTATGTTTTGAGTTAATGTTTTGAGGAGAAATGTTTCCATTTATATGAAAATATCTATTTAATAGTAATGAAACCAAAAAGGAAGCCTGAATTCTAGGACCGTGTTGCCTGTCAGATTATTAAAGGGATGTGCAAGAATTGCTTGAATAACCTCATTCTATCCACTTTTTCTTTGTAATTAAAAGTTAGGATAAAAAAATGTTTGGAAGTTATTGCAAGACTCTGAGGAGCCCTGGTGGTGCAATGGTTAAAGCGCTCAGCTGCTAATCAAAAGGTCGGTAGTTTGAACCCACCGTGGCTCTGCAAGAGAAAAGATGTGGCAGTCTGCTTCCGTAAAGATTATAGCCTTGGAAACCCTATGGGGCAGTTCTACTCTGTCCTGTTAGGGTTGGTATGAGTTGCGATGGCAACAGGTTTTATTGCAAGACTACTCTTTTTTTGTTTTGTTTTGTAAAGAATTTTATGGCTTTTAACTAGACAAGTAGTCAAACTTGGCCAATAAACAAAAACAAAAAAAACCAAGGCTGTTTGGCTAGCTGGTGGGTTCGAATCACTGACCTTTCAGTTAGCAGCCAAGCGCTTAACCACTGCTCCGCCAGGGCTCCTTAACTTGGCCAATAGACAAAGTTTTTCAGTTATTTAGAGAAGAGTAAGATTTAGGTTTATTTTTCATTTTCAGAAGTTTTTCTGTTCAGATACGGAAGAAAAAAGATTATGAATCCCCTTTCGGTTTATCTCACTCAGTATAAAGATGGACAGCAATATGGGTAGTACAGAACCTAAGCTTCACATAGGAAGCTATATAAATGCACATATTCTCATTTTGAAACATTGGATCCTTTTACATACTACTTGCTTAACTAGAAAGATGGCTCATTTAGTCCTCAGGCTCCAACCTCAAGAAATATTTCACTGCCTTCACACAGTTGGGACATTTATTTATTTTACAAAACTATGTAGGAACACATTATTATGTAATATTAACATGTCATTTTTTTTTCAATAATAGCTGCATTTTAAAATATTACAGACTAATGGAAGGAAAATCAAGAGGTTAATCATTTCTCTCAGTAATTATTTCATATATTAGTGGAACTGAAGATTTGGTAGGAAGAAAAAATCAGCATAAAAGTGCAATTAAAGTACAGGGCTGGCATGCCATATTCCTGTTCCTGTGAACACCTGAGCTGACACAAATACAGAGTATTTTAATGCATTGGCATATCTATGCCTAAAGGCTTACTTTTCTCTACCAGATCATTACAATTCATAAATAAGCATATAATAATTATGAAACAAATACTTATTTTTAAGCATTCAAATGTAGTCTGCTCCAAAATAAATTTTTTCATTTATTAGGTAGATTGTAACTGGAAACCCCTCACTGCTGAGAAATAAATTTTATATTTGATCAAAATAAATTCTAAAAAATACAAATGATTAGCACCAGTCTATTTGGGAACTAAAGAATCAAGGGGAGGAGAAAAGGTGCTATTTCCCTTTTCCCCAAACCTTCACAAAGACAATAATGTTGTGTGTGTGTGTGTGTGTGTGTGTGTGTGTGTGTAAAAACGGATGAAAACATGCAACATTAATAAACACAATTGCTGCCAAACATCTAAAACACCAGTTAGAGGAGCTAATAAAGAAATGCTCAAAAGATTACGGGTTTTTAGGCAGTGATTAAAATGAACAGTACAAATTATCAAAGTACAATGCAAAGCTCATGTAGCTAAAAGATGAACAAAATCTTGGGATTTTTATTATAAAAGAGTAGCAAACATGAAAATCTTACATCTCAAGATAGCTAAAGGCTTCTTACTTTGTAGAATTAACCCAAAATTCTAAGACACTTGGCTACGTCTTCACAGCATGATATAAACCTGTTGTCATCGAGTCGATTCCAACTCATAGTGACTCTACAGAACAGAGTAGAACTGCTCCATAGGGTTTCCAAGGAGCGCCTGGTGGATTCAAACTGCCAACCTTTTGGTTACCAGCTGAGGTCTTACCCACTGGGCCACCAGGGCTCCACAACATGAGATAGGTGACACTGAGGACCCAATCTTTACCTCTATACTTTGTATGTGGCTTAAATTATATAGCACTCGATCAGTCATTTCCCGCAGTTGTTTCAGAATTTTATCAAACACATTTTCTCTAACATTTTATGAAATGCAATGGAATGCAGCAATGGAACTGAAATATAATACTGTCTAAAAGCCGTGTGTGAGTTCATGATACACAACTTAACTTGTTAACTTTAACTATCCCCTTAAAGCCAGGATTAAGGGGAAAAGAATCAGTAAACAAGAAGGTTCAATTCAACAAAGTATCAACCACAATAGTGTAAATTTCCCACTAAAACTGGAAAAATAAATGGATAAAATTTTTATAAATTCCCTAATGCATATGAACTTTCAAAGTTAATTATAAGTTATTTTTAAAAAACTCATTCTACAGTCTCAAGAGAATATTTAAAATTATAATTTTCTTTTAAGCATTGCTATTTCTTCTAAAGGTCATACATCTAGAAGAAAATTGGTTAGGATGTCCAGTTTTCCTAGGACAATACATTGTTTAGTTTAATTCAATCAGGCATTTCTACTGATTCACCTGGGAAAAGGGATACAAGAAAACACGTTTTAAAGGAGAAAACAGTCATTTTAGCAGTTTTATTCAATAGATGCCATAAATTAACTACATTCAGAAATAACCTTTAGACCAAAAAAACACTGCCACTATATCTAGCATTCACACACACACAAACACACACACGCACAAACTACCAAATACTTGTTCTTGTTCCATTAACTGAGAAAGAAGCAAAATAATTAAAATATTGTAACTGTTAAACATAGAAGAGTAGAAATCAAATAGTTTTATACCCAATATACATGCACCAAAAACTTCCATTTCCAGCTGATTTTGGAGCTTATTCCTATAGGAGTAACTGAATTACTCAATGGTGAACAAATTTTAGCTCAGAATTTTGTAAGAATGACTTGCTATAAATCACTATTCTATTTGCTGCTATATTTTTGCTCATTGTCGCATGTGCCTAAACAGATCAATGCTCTGATCAAACAAGTCTGCTGAAATCTACTCATATGTTTAGGAGTGGGCAAGAAGGTTAAAAGGCACAAAGCTTGACTGTAGTAATAATTTTTCTTACTACTTATTTGTATAAGAATCCATTTACTTTTCAATCCTGCTTAAATGATCACTAAGAAACTGCAAATTTTCATAGGGGGAAAGTTTAGGTGGGTCCTTTTTTTCATAAATTTTAGCAGCCTTCAAAGGCATATAAATAAACATTTGGGGGCCTTTTAACTATTGGAATTGCAAAAGACTTATCTGCAATTTACTATTGAAGACCCTCTTGATTTAATATCTATATACCCATTTCCTTATATTTTCTTTAAAATCTATCAGTATGGCATTTCATTTCTATGCATAGCTTAGTAATTCATAAAACTAAATAGCAAACTGATACTCTATACCAGTTCATCTATCTCAATATATATTTTGGAATATAATGGCAATATTTGAAAATATCAATTCCCTCTAAGCTTGTAATGCTAAAAGATTTTACAAAGTTAAACAGTTTTTGTTTTTCTTTTCTTTTTGAAAAAGTTTCATTGTTTAAACTCCATACATTTGACACCTGACAAGGAAAACATAATTGTCATATAATATTTATTCCATCAATTTAAGCAGAAGTGTCTCATGGAGCTAAACACTTAAACAATTTAAATTAAAAAAGGCAATAACCTGTATGTACACAAAATGATCATTGCATAAATATTTACATGACAAGAGAAAAAAATGGAGACTCACTAAAACTGGAAATTGCTACAGGTGTGATAATCCTTTCTTGAGACATTTTTAGTTAGGAATCATACAAGCTTTTAACATAAAAATAATTGCGGAAGCATAACTAAAATATTCATTTTAGTTTTTAGTTTCTTACTATTTAAAGGAGCCAGTAGGTCATAAACAGTCCAAGATTTCAGGGAGCAACTACTCAGTTTAGTTTTTAATATGAAATCTTTTTCTTCAGCTCTCTTGATGAAACTAAATTTACTTACAGAAAAAAACAAAGAGTATGCTAAAAGGTGTAAATAAAAATTCCAGTTCATTCTCCTCTATAGATACTGGTCAGCCGCTCCAATTCTTTACAGTTGTCCATGCTCAATGCTTCTGCCTTCCTTCGAAGTCTATCATCACGATATACTTTTGCTGCATACTGCATATCTGTTTCTGTTAACAACAAAAATTTTTTACTCATTAAATAATAATTCATATTATCCAGTTGTTAATCTCTAATGATGCTTCATTGAAGCCCTTTAATATATTTTTATTAACTGATTTCTCTAAAAAAGTAATCTAAGTACTTCTCCTAAAAGCCATTCTCGTGGAAAAATCTTTCTTTAAACGAAAACTTCATCTGATGCCTACACGAAAAACAAACACAGAGCTGCTCTGGAAAAGAAATAAGGATAGAATCCTAGCAACTCACATGGAAATCCTTTTCCTCCACCCTTCTCCCAACAGTTTAAAAACCACTGCTCAGAAGCAGCATCTCAGCCTCTTGTTCTAAGGATATCATGTACCATTTAATACTGCTAGTGGTTGTTTTTACTAAAGTTTCAAGTTAATTATCTCAAAACTTAAATATAAAAATTAAAATCCTGTTAGGAGTTTACTTAAATTAAAAAATAATAATAACCTTATTGAAGGAACACAATAGAGGAAAAAAGCTTGTTTAGAGTCGTAACAGTGGTACTCAGTAAAAGTGCTTCTGAGCTTCCTTTAGTACATGGATAGCATTATTAATAATAAATTGACAAGAAATCAAACATACTTCAGGGAAATCTCCCTTGTTTTTTTCCCGTTACTCTCAGCCATTTCACTGTTCATTAACATTTCTAAAGGGTGGGAACAGTTAGAGAAGATATAATAAAAAGAGGGAAAAAAAATCAGTTCCTTTCTGAAAAACAATGGCAAAGTAGAAGACATCTCTTTTATGTACATCAGGCAGGACCACATTCAAAATATACTTACAAGTGGTCTCCATTAGTCAGGATCTTCAAAAATGATCCTTATTTAATTAATCAGGCTAGGATTTAACAATTCTATCAAAAAATTTTATGTTAATTGTCCAATAACTACATCCCTTTTATTTATAAATGAGGCACTTGTAAAATGCATTTGCAGATGACTATTCCCAAATGAGGAACTTGAGAGTTAGATAAAGCTCATACTAGTAGTGGCAGTCTTGTTTCCAATCCAAATCTCCTAACTCCTATTCTAATATTCTTTCCATTATCTCAAATTATTGTTTGCATTTTATAAAACACCTGTATCAGTCTAGACATTAGAGAATATTAAAAAAGAATTAACTCTAAAACAGAAGACTGACAAAAGAATATTCATTAGCCAACAATCTTTTTGATATTAATTTATAAAACAAGATATTTTATTTTATAAATTAATAAGTATATATAAGAGCTTCTCCTACTTTCATTTTCCTTCAAAAGCCCTATGGATGTCCTGAATTTGTTGAATTTTAATTTGAAAAATTTCAAACCTACACAAAAGTTAAAAAAGTAGTACTTCTGTAATGTAGCATAAGGAATCATCTAAATTCTCGAGTGATAAGATCAGCACAAAGTTAGTTCCTATGAGGTGGAGATCATCCCCTACCACAGCACTCTCTACTACTCTGCTCGGTTTGATAATTCATTGCAATGGCCAGGCAGAACTCACAGGCTATACTCAAAATTATGTGGTTTATTAGGGAAGTAACAGGCTACAACTTGGGATCAGGATCAACTTGGAATTAACAGGAAAAACTCAGGATCAGGATCAGAAAGTACACTGGTGAGGTTTGGAAAGCTCCCCAGATGTGAAAAACACATCCTTCCCTTCTTCACTGCAGGACAGCTTCCAACCAGAACAGCTCTCTCAGCTGCTCTCAACCATGCAAGCAAACAGGCCCTTCTCTTGGCTGTACAAGCTTCCTCTCAGCTGTGCAGGTCTCTCTGCCTTTGGCCTCCCCGCCATTGGCTTTTCAGCTGTTAACTGATCCAGCTCATAGCCAGGGTAGCACCTTGCTCAGCTGCTGCTCCCCTCTTTCTCTGCTTCTTCTCTTTGAAAAACTTCTGTAGGGTTGGCAGCTTACACTAGCAAACTCCTTGTCAATTTCAAGGCATGATCTTCCCAGCAGGACCAGAACCGATTGATCCCCTCAATGAACCGCAAGTCACTCAGTCCTGCTGGGTGGATTTTCAAGCCACTATTTGAATAGCAAATTGACCAGTCCCTGCAAGGTGCATAAAATAAACCAACCACAGGGCAGACTAAAGCTCAGGGCCAGGCAAAAAGTACCATGAAGTTGTTTACAGCTTACCGAGGAAATGTCAGTCAACCTGGGGAATCCCCTGTAACAAACAGAAAACAACTTGGGAGCCCCCACAAGTTGCTTCTTCAAAGAACTAGGGCAAAGGTGGTCTTACCGGAAAAATCTCTCAAGCTGTTTTTCCAAAGAATCAAGTCAAAATGCCACATAACTCATTTCACCACAACAATGAACACTCTAAAACCATTTACCTTGATTGACCAACTCTTCACATTTTGTCAAATTTGCTTTAGGTCTGTCTACAATAAAGGTTGTTGTTATTAGTGTGGTTGTAGTCATTGTTATTAGTTTGTGGAACAATTTGAGAGTAAAGCGCAGACATTGTGACCTTTCATTCCTAATTAGCATGTCTTTTCTAAGAACAAGGGCGTTCTCTTATATAACTCCAATACAATTACCTAATTCAGGAAATTTAACAATGATAAAATAATACCATTATCTAATATACAGTCCATATTCAAACTTCACCAATTATCCCAAATCATGTCTTTTACAGCAATTTCCCCCTGTCCAGGATGTTTGGAAGTAGATTGCCAGGTCTTTCTCCCTAGTTCCTTAGTCTGGAAGCTCTGCATCACAGGAACACGTAAGGTCCACTGACAGATAGTGGTGTCTGCGCGTGAGGTGCACTGGCTAGGAATCTAATTCAGTCTCCTGCATGGAAGGCAAGAATTCTACCACTGAACCACCAATGCCTTCACTGTACATAACAATAGAGATAAAAAGATGAATTGAAATCTGGTGTTTACTGTGCTTAATATCTTTGTCTAGTGTATGGTTTCTCGACCTCACCAATACTGGCATTCTGGGTTGGATAATTCTTTGTTGCAGGGCAGAGGGACTGTCCTGTGCATTGTAAGATGCTTAGTGGCATTCCTGGCCTCTACCTACTACACTTCGGTAGCAAGCACCAACCTCCTCCTCTACTGACAAAAACGTCTCTTGTAGGGAGAGAATTACTCCATGTTGAAAACCATTCCTGTAATGTAACCCTCTCCACATTGAGAGCAGACGGATTTCATAGATGCAGAGAGTCAAAAGTCAAGAAGGTCACATCTCCTCTAACTGCCATTATATAAATGAAGAAACCAAGACCAGAGCGGTTAAGAACTCTCTTTGAAGTATACAAAGATTATATTTTATCAGATTTTCCCTAAAGGAGATGATGATTGCTACCATTTTCTGAGCATTTACTATGTGTGAAGCATTTTAATTTCATTACCTGATTTAATTTGCACAACAAACCCATAGTGTTAGGTAGTATTGAGAAGACTGTAGAGTACAGTGGTTAGGAGCCTGGATTCTGGAGACAGACTCTGTGTTTGAATCACAGACTACCTCTATGACCTTGGGCAAGTTAGTAACCCCCCTTGTCTCTGTTTCCTCAACTGTAAAATGGGTAGAGTAACCTCACAGAGTTATGAAGAATGAACGAATTAATATATATAAAGTGCTTGGGACAGTGACTGAAACAATAGGCATTAGATAAAACCAAAAATCAAACTCGTTGCCATCAAGTCGATTCCAACTCACAGAGACCCTATAGGACAGAGCAGAACTGCCCCACAGGGTTTCCAAGAGGTGGCTGGTGGATTTGAACTGCTGGCCTTTTTGGTTAGCAGCCAAGCTCTGAACCCCTGCACCACCAGGGCATTATATAAAAGTTATTATTTCCTCTTCCCACTCATTATCATTACTCATTGTATACATGAGGAAATAAATTTACAGAGGATAGAATATCTGGCCCAAATCACTCAGCTAAAGATTTCAGAGCTGAGACGTGGGGCCAAGATGGCGGAGTAGTCAGACACTTCCTGTGGTCCCTCTTACAACAAAGACCCAAAAAACAAGTGAATCAATTATATATGACAATCTAGGAACCCTGAACATCAAAGGCAAAGCTGAGGAGTTGGACTGAGTGGCAGGGGGAGGGAGAGATGGTTCGGAAGCATCGAGGAGTTGCCAGAGCTGACCTGTCGGGAACCGGTACCCTGTAGGCTGGATCAGCTTGCCTTCGTGGTGGGGCAAGCAGTGGTGCACGGGACACATTTTCCACATCAGGAGAGACTAAGCGGGGGAGAGTCTACTCAAGCCTCCAGAACCAGTGAAAAGCGGTGCTCAATCAGCAAAAGATAAGTACATGCATCTAATCCACCACGTGGTCAAAAAACACCCTGTTTTGGAAGAACCTCTCTTCCATTTACCTGCCTCCTCCCCACTCTACACTGGGTCCCGGGCCAGCTTCACTGATTGCTGCGTCCCCTGGGCTGGAAGTAGGACCTGTCACATGCCCTGAGCTATTCTCCCAGCCTTGGAGAGGGAACAAATTAACAACAAGGAAAAAATAATCTGCCAGCTCCCCTAAGCCGGGAACTCAGGGCAGGCACAGATCCTTTGCCTAGGCACAGGCATAAGGGATCCATGGACTTTGAATGCCTTTCACCCCTGCACGACCTGTGTGGGCCCATTTCAACAGCGTAGGCCATCATTAGCACAATACAACGGTATATACCTGAAGCCTAACTTCAACTGTGTCAGCTGTATGTTGGAGTGGCAAGTTCGTGACATTTGACACCACTCTGCCCATTAAACAGGGTCCTCACCTACCCACATCAGGGGCCAGAGGACTGGTGGCTCCACCCATGCCACGTAGCCACCTGCGACAGGGATCAAAGAATAAGTAGTGCCTCCCAGTCCTTACAGCCTAAAGCACTGGGTGCCCATAGCCCAGCTGCAAAACCCACCCACCTATGTGCTCTAGGGAACGGACATGCTTTCCTCCCAGACACTCAGGGGCAGCCGTCATCCCCCTGCCTTGGTCAGTGCATGACTCCCTACTGCAGCCAGATAACCTGTGTCTACTCCAATCACCCCGCTCGTCTAGGACTGTAGCTGAGAGCTTACACCACACACTTGGTGACTGACTACCTGGACACCTTAGCTGACTCTATATAAGAAAAGTAAATGGACTCCTGGGCTCACATACCTAGTAAAAAGATCTAACCAACTGGTGACAGGACATTAGTGCTTCAAAAGTGCCGATAATCAAACTAGCTCACACGAGCAGCCTATCTGGGCATATCAAAACAAAACGAGAAGCTAGAACACAGCAAACAAAATAAGTACGGATAATAACTTATTGATGGCTTGGAGACAACCAAAAGAAAACCAAACCCACTGCCGCTGAGTCAATTCCAACTCATGTGAGTTAGAGACAACAGTCAATATCAAATCACATAAAAAAGCAGACGATGATGGCTTCAGCAAGCTTCCAAAACAACGAATCAAGAAATCTTCCGGAGGAAGAGAACTTCTTGGAACTACCGGAAGTAGAACACAAAAGATTAATATACAGACTCTTCATGAGATCAGGCAAAATGCAGACCAACCCAAGGAACACACAGACAAAGCAAGAAAGGAACTTAAGAAGATTACAGAAGAGCATAATGACAAATTTAACAGGCTGCAAGAATCCATAGAGAGACAGCCAACAGAAATCCAGAAAATTAACAATAAAATTTCAGAATGAGACAACTCAACAGAAAGTCATAGGAGCAGAATTGAGGCAATGGAAGTCAGAATCAGTGAGAGTGAAGATAAAGCACTCGACACCAACTTATTTGAGGAAAAATCAGATAAAAGAATTTTAAAAAATGAAGAAACCCTAAGAATTATGTGGGACTCTATCAAGAGGAATCACCTACGAGTGACTGGAGTACCAGAACGGGGGGGATAACAGAAAATACAGAATTACTGAAGATTTGTTGGCAGGAAACTTCCCTGATATCTTGAAAGATGAGAAGATATCTATCCAAGATGCTCATCGAACCCCACACAAGGTAGATCCCAAAAGAAAGTCACCAAGATATATTATGATCAAACTTGCCAAAACTAAAGATTTCAGAGCTGGGATTCAACTTTAGTCTCTCTAATTCCAAAGTCAGTGCTCTTAACCATTACACTAAATGGTCTATATTATTATTCACAGCACCAGTCACAAAAACAAGAACCATAGCAAACTCCGTACATATGCATCATCTCAGAAGGTTCTTATGGTCAACCTTTTTATAGAATCTGAGTTTTTAAAAGGTTTTAAAGAAACTGAGGCTGGAAAAAGTTAAGTGAATTGATTAAATGATCCCAAATGCTTCTCTATGTATGAAGTAAATATAGAAAAAGGAAATATCAACAAAACTCATTGTACATTAAGTGCTAAATGTTAAAGCTAAGGTAATAGATAGCTTCAAACTTAATAATATAAACTGAGGAAAATATTAGATTAGATCTGAGACAAAACCAGATTATGCACCAGTAGATACCCAAGAGAAAAAAGATGAAAAATTAATTTCAAAATATCATATTTCATTGATGTACATTTTCCCACAACTCTGAAACAAAATGCATCTTAAACCTGATGACATATCATAGTTCATGTGCCAGTCTTTCTTCCTTTCTTAGTAGTATACATAATAATGTATCTTATAATTGACATCTTAAATACAATGAAATTTGGTATTATTCACTTATCGTTCAACCCAATATTTATTGATAACAACAACAATAACACAAGTATCATTTATTAAATCCTTATAATGTGCCAAATACTATATTAGGCCATATGTGTATAAAACATAATTATCTCATTTAAGTATAGAACCCAATTATGTGCCAGGAAATTCCAAATCATTTCTTCAGCGGGGAAATCTATAACAAGCAATTCCAAGATACTGAATAAAAGTTTTAAAATGTTAAGCATCTGATCAACTTACTTTGTTGTCGTTCTTTCCAACAATTGTTTCGAATATTAGTCACATAATCTTCTTCAACATTCTTTTCTACTTTTTGTAATAATATCCCTTTATATTCATTTTTAAAGTCTTTGTTGACATAATAAATGACACCCAAGTTTTCTGTCTTCATTTTAATGGTTTGTCCTGATCCACTATAAAAGAGATACATGATCATTACTTTTTAATTAAAATTGGATATTCTGATATGCTACTACTATAGACTAAGCCAACAAAAAAAAAGGTAATTAAAAAGTTAATATTGCGTTGTGTGTCGGTGAGTCAACTCTGACTCATAGCAACCCCGGTGTTTACTGTAATCTTTACGGAAGCACATCACCTAGTATTTTCTCCTGAGAAGTCGCTGGTGGGTTCGAACTGGTGACCTTTGGTTAGCAGCTGAGCTCTTAACCACTGTGCCACCAGGGCTCCTTAGTAATTTATTTATACTATCTCAATTACCTTAAGCCACCATATCATGTCATAAGAGAGCAATAATGTTACATTTTAACTATGTTCTTATAAAGTTATCTCAATTTTTAGTTACTAAAATTCTTATCTGGAAGTTCTTTCTTATTTTTAGACCAATGTTTTACTACTGCACAATCACTGGCAATATGACAAAGTTTTTCTGTGTTCACTGTATTACACTAAAACTGTCTAGGATAGATGCTAGGATTACATTTACATCTTGATCTCTGATATAAAATATATGGTGAAAAACTACTTCATATAACAAATAGTATTTGCTTTGATTTAATCAATATTTTACAAACAGAAGAGTAAAGCCATTTCTTCAATGACACAAACCTATATAAATTCAATCACTATTCTAGTTTTATCTTGAGAATATTTTTGTCTTTAATGTCAACACTCTACCTATCATATTAAATTGCTGAGGAGTTTGAATATAGCACTTCTGTCCTTACCCACAGTAGAAGAGAAATGTAAATTAACAATACAATACAAATTTATCACTTGAATAACTAAAAATTTCGAATGAGATTTTTAAATCAGTTTGTTAACCTGGTACACTTATAAGAGATTTTGTACTTGAATGTGTAAAAAAGCACTAGGCCCTTTAAAGGAAGCTAGATAAGAAACAGCAACTAATCATTTTTGTAAAAGTTCGCTTAGCTACTTACGATCTGGGATATAAGGAATAAGGAGGGTTGGAGACCATCAACTGGCTTAATAGTGATACGAGGATCAATACAATAATAGGCATCAGCTGGATAAACACAGAAAAACCACCCTATAAAAATAATCAAAGATTAACCAATTGTAATATAGTTGTCAATAATCCGAAAGTTGTCATACATTTTTAGAGGCAGAAAGGACATTAGAGATCATCCAGTCCAGTGCTTTCAAATCTGCCTGAAAGAACTAATCTCCCCAAGACCACTCTTAAAAATACAACTCTCCAGGCTCTTCATCTGGAGATTCTGATTTGGAGAACACTGATATTTCATCTCATTATACAAAACAAGGAAATTCTTTCTTTCTTTCTCACACATACAGAGACTCTATGAATATGAAGAAGGTTGCAAAATTATTTTTCCTTGGAATTGGGGGTGGGTCATGAGAGCTGGTGAGTGGGAGGGCTAGGACCCAGGCCTTTTAATTTCTAGTCTAATGCTCTTTCCATTTACCTTAACACTTCATGTAGTTTAGTTGCTATATGCAATTTGGTATAACTGCATTAAAACAAGGGAAGTTACTTCCAATTTAATTTTTTTATCGTTAATTCTAAATTCTTTAGAACTAAAAAGAGAACTTTCAAACATGCATGCCGCAGGTATAGCTTCATCAGAATCACAGAATACCAAATTTGAAGGGGTCATATTGTCTAACTACCCCCGTTCTTATCTCTACCCCTGCTCCCACAATAATCCTAAGGGATTTTTCAGTCATTATTGAATACCTCTGGTCACAAAAAACTCATTACTTCCTAAAACAATTTGCTCTATTTTCAGACAACTCTAATTGCTTCTCCTCAGTGGAAATATGCCATTTTACAATTTCTAATCATATCATAAACATACATCTCCTCTTTCTTCTTCTCTTTCATGTCCACTATGTCGATGCTGATGTTGATGGTTATAGCCAGCTCGTCCATTTGAAAATGAATGTACACTACCTATAAAATTAAAAGTAATATTAGAGAGATTATGATCAGAAAACTATATTTTCTTTTGCATTTTTCGTTAATCTTTTTAATTACAAAAATCATGTCTGTTAATTTTGAGTAGTGAATGTTATTGCCCTCTCTTCATTTGAGTGAAGGACAGACAGAAACAGAAATAATTCTTCCAAAACTTTGCCTCCTTTAAAATAAGGCAGACATTCCTTTTCCTTTATAAAAACATGAATAAGAGTTCCTCCCTAATACTGCATACTTAGAGGGATTTTGTTTTGGTTGATTGTTTTCACAAACATTGGATCACTGATCTGAAATTTTGCTTTTTGCACTTAACAATGCATCACAAACATCCCTAGAAATCAAAGATAAGCACTCCAGTTCATTTTTTAAAAATAGCTATATAATATACTACAGTACGGGTGTACCCAAAAGCTTTACCACCACCCGTCTGTCACTTTGTCGTACTGTGGTGGCATATATGTTGCTTTGATGTGGAAGCTCTGCCACCAGTATTTCAAATACTAGAAGGATCAACCATGGTGGACAGGGTTCAGCGGAGCTTCCAGGCTAAGACAGACTGGGAAGAAGGATCTGGTGATCTACTTTTGAAAAAAACTGGCCAGTGAAAACATTATGAATAGCAACAGAACACTAATATAGTGCCAGAAGATAAGCCCCTCAGGTTGGAAGGTACTCAAAATATGTAAAGCTTTCGGGACTGTCATGGATTGAATTGTGTCCCCCAAAAATATCTGTCAACTTGGCTAGGCCATGATTCCCAGTAGTGTATGACTGTCTACCATTTTATCACGTGATGTGATTTCCCTATGTGTTGTAAACTCTTTTCACTATGATGTAATAAGATGGATTAGCGGCAGTTATATTGATGAGGTCTACAAGATTAGGTACTGTCTTAAGCCAATCTCTTTTGAGGTATAAAAGAAAGAAGTGAGCAAAGAGACACGGGGACCTCATACTACCATGAAAGCAGTGCCGGGGGCAGAGCACGTCCTTTGGACCCGAGATTCCTGCACTGAGATGCTCCCAGACCAAGGGAAGACTGATGACAAGGACCTTCCTCCAGAGCTGACAGAGAAGGCCTTCCCCTGAAGCTGACGCCCTGAATTTGGATTATAACATACTAGGCTGTGAGAGAATAAATTTCTCTTCGTTGAAGCTATCCACTTGTGCCATTTCTGTTATAGCAGCACTAGATGACTAAGACAGGGACCTTCATTAGCTGATGTGGCATGACTCAAAATGAGAAGAAACAGCTGCAAACATTCATTAATAATCAAAATGTGGAACAACTAAGTATGAAACAAGAAAAACTGGAAGGTGTCAAAAATGAAATGGAACGCTTGAAGATCAATATCCTAGGCATTAGTTAGCTGAAATGGACTAGTATTGGCCATTCTGAATCAGACAATCATATGGTAAACTATGCCGAGGATGACAGATCGAAAAAGGACAGCATTGCATACATCACCAAAAAGAACATTTCAAGATCTATCCTGAAGTACAATGCTGTCAGTGATAGGATAATATCCATATGCCTACAAGGGAGACCAGTTAATACGACTATTATTCAAAGTTACGCACCAACTACTAATGCCAAAGATGAAGAAATTGAAGATTTTTACCAACTTCTGCAGTCTGAAATTGATCAAACATGCAATCAAGATGCAATGCTAATTAAGGGAATGTGAAAGTTGGAAACAAAGAAGGATTAATAGTTTAAAAAACATGGTGATAGAAATAACGCCAGAGATGGCATGACAGAATTTTGCAAGACCAACGACTCACTACTGGAAATACCTTTATGAGTCGGAACCGACTTGACAGCACCTAACAACAACAATAACGGGTGTACCACGATTTATTCAAATATTCTTTTACTGATGGACATTCAAGTTGTTTTCACACACTGTGACCAACCAGAAATGGCTACCACTGACAAGATAAACTATGTTATAACAACATAAGAACTGCAAATCAACTTCTTGTTGTTCTTAACTACCATCAAGTCTACTCTGACTTATGCTGACCCCCAGTGTGCAGAGCAGAACTGCTCCTCAGGGTTCAGGCTGTGACCTTTTGAAAGCAGATCACCTGGCCTGTCTTCCCAGGTACTTTTAGGTGGGTTTGAACCACCAACTCTTAGGCTAGTAGTGGAGCATTAACTGTTTTATGCAACAGAGAGCCCACAAATCAACTATGAGAAGCCAAATTCACTATTATCTGAAAGATTTCTGATTGCTCCTAGAATATTTTCAGTCAAAATTATTTTAATAATTTTTCTAAGCAGAAATTATGTATTCTAATATGTCAAAAAACAGTTTATACTTTTAGTCATTGATTTGTATCTACACATTCCCTTTCCTTTAAGAATGTTTTACTAAATACCATATCAATGCTCACGTTGTTTCTCAGTAATATTCAGAGAGACCTACCAAGCCAAATTCTATTACAGCATTCATAAAGAGTCTTTTAATTTTGAATAAAGTGTTTAACTTAGTACCTTAAATGCATATAAACAAGATTAGAGCTACAATTTTAATTACTTTAAAGAAAATTAATTTCCATCCAAATAAATGTAATAGAGTTCAATAGTACTTATATTGGTACTATAAAATCTTTTCATTTAGACAGTACTGCTACAATGTTTCACTTTGGTTGTTGTTCTGTTGTTAGGTGCCATCCAGTCAGTTCCAACTCAGCAACCCTACGTACAAGAGAACGAAACACTGCCTGGCCCTGTGCCATCCTTACAACCGTTGCTATGCTTGAGCCCACTGTTGTAGCCACTGTGTCAATTCATGTCATTGAGGGTCTTCCTCTCTTTTGCAGACCCTTTACTTGGCCAAGTATGATATCTTCTCCGGGTCCCTCTTGATAACATGTCCAAAGTACATGAGACCAAGTCTCACCATCTTTCCTTCTAAGGAGCATTCTGGCTGTACTTCTTCCAAGACAGATTTGTTTACTCTTCTGGCAGTCTACGGTATATTCAATATTCTTTGCCAATGCTATAATTCAAAAGCATCAATTCTTTGGTCTTCCTTATTCATTGTCCAGCTTTCACATGCCTATGAGACCACTGAAAATACCATGGCTTGGGTCAGGCGTACCTTAGTCCTCAAAGTAACATCTTTGCTTTTTAACACTTAAAAGAGGTCTTTTGCAGCAGATCTGCCCAGTGAAATATGTCCTTTAATTTCCTGACTGCTATTTCCATGGGTTTTTACTGTGGATCCAAGTAAAAGGAAATCCTTGTCAACTTCACTCTTTCCTCTGTTTATCATGATGTTGCTTATTGGTCCAGTTGTTTGCTTTATGTTTAGGTGTAATCCATACTGAAGGTTGTAGTCTTTGATCTTCATCAGTAAGTGCTTCAAGTCCTCTTCACTTTCAGCAAGCAAGGTTATGTCATCTGCATAACACAAGTTGTTAATGAGTCTTCCTCCAGTCCTGATGCCATGTTCTTCATATAGTCCAGCTTCTTGGATTATTTACTCAGCATACAGATTGAACAAGTATGGTGAAAGGATACAACCCTGACACACACATTTCCTGATTTTAAACCACGCACCATCACCTTGTTCTGTTCAAACAACTGCTGCTTGGACTATGTACAGGTTCCACATGAGCACAATTAAATATTCTGGAATTGTCATCCTTTGCAATGTTTTCCATAAACTGTTATGATCCACACAGTTGAATGCCTTTGCGTAGTCAATAAAACACAGGTAAACATCTTTCTGGTATTCTCTGCTTTTAGCCAAGATCCATCTGACATCAGCAATGATATCCCTGGTTCCATGTCATGTTCTGAATCCAGCTTGAATTTCTGGCAGTTCCCTGTCGATGTACTGCTGCAACCACTTTTGAATTATCTTCAGCAAAATTTTACTTGTGTGTGATATTACTGATATTGTTTAATAACTTCTTCATTCTGTTTGATCACTTTTCTTTGGAATGGGTAAAATATGGATCCCCTTATTCACTTGGCAGCCTAATTCAAATAATTATTTCTATCTTAAAGTAGTAAAACTTACTCTATAACCTATGAATCAAATTTTTTACTATTTCAATAGACAGAAGAACCTCCAAAAACATCCAAATTAATAATCTATAATTAATTTCGCTCATGAGGAACCTGTACATAGTCCAAACGGCAATCATTCGAACAGAACACGGGAATAGTGCATGGTTTAAAGTCAAGAAACGTGTGTGTCAGGGTTGTATCCTCTCACCATACCTATTCCATCTGTATGCTGAGCAAATAATCTGAGAAGCTGGACTATATGAAGAACAACACGGCATCACGACTGGAGGAAGACTCATTAACAACTTGTGTTATGCAGATGACATAACCTTGCTTGCTGAAAGTGAAGAGGACTTGAAGCATTTACTGAAGAACATCAAAGGCCACGGCCTTCAGTATGGATTATACCTCAACATAAAGAAAACAAAAATCTTCACAACTGGACCAGTAAGCAACACCATGATAAGTGGAGAAAAGATTGAAATTGTCAAGGATTCCATTTAATTTGGATCCACAATCAACACCCATGGAAGCAGCAATCAAGAAATCAAAAGACACATTGGATTGGGATGGCAAGACATCTCACATACTTTGGACATGTTATCAGGAGGGATCATTTCCCTGGAGAAAGATACCATGCTTGGTAAAGTAGAGGGTGAGTGAAAAAGAGGAAGACCCTCAAAATGACATGGATTTACACAGTGGCTGCCAACGATGGGCTCAAGCATAACAACAATTGTGCGGATGATGCAGGACCAGGCAGTGTTTCATTCTGTTGTACATAGGGTCACTGTGGGTCGGAACTGATTCGATGGTATCTAACAACAATAACAATGTTATTAATAAAATATATGCAAAGATCTCCACGGAAGCCATGTCAAATAGTCTTCCAGGGTATAGGAGACCTTCCACAATTGTAACAGCACTTACCTAAGACAGCATTATTGGATTTCCCATTTACATGCCCTCTCTACAGCCTTATATAAGATGTAGAATATCTGTACTCTCTCTTTTTTTTAATTAAGAAGTGTTCTAGGAAAAGAGTAGGCTATAATAAAGGTAATAACCCTAACACCTTTCTCCCATCTTCATGAAAAATCATCACAGGATCATAACACTAGAAACATATAGGAAAAAAACAGATTAATCTCTAAATAGCCTAATTGGATATAAGAATCTCTAGCTTCATAAAATTTAATATTAAAGTACCTGGAGGAAACCCACCACCAAAGAATATATTAAACAAGTCTTCTGGAGTTATATCAGCTTCACAACCTCTGTGGAAATTAAATCTGCCATTGTTTTGGTGATTACATCCTTGTTCTTCATTGCCTGTGAGGTCATACTGTTTTCGTTTTTCTGGATTGCTTAAAACAGCATAAGCGTTTCCAATCTCTGAAAAAGTAACGAGTAAAGGTTGGTAAGCAAAGTTTTTTATATTATAAAAGAATGGCCCATATAAAAGCTATGTCATGTTAATTAGTAAAACAGTAACAATTTCTTATAACAACATTATGCATTTCTTTCAATTTCATATATTATTACCTCCCAATACAATTTTTTTTAAATATATACTAGACAGGCAAGTCTCCCTACTCCTTGAAAACCAAGTAATGCCCATTTTGTCTTTCTTAAAATTGTTTCATCCCCTAATATCCTGCTTCTTCCTTTGTTGAGTACCCTAATCTAGCCATTCATCAAGGTCATTAAAAACAGTAATAGTAGCAATCATTTACTGAGTACTTACTAATTGCCAATCTCTGTGCCCATTACCTTATTACAGTATCCATTGTTATCTCCACTTTACAGATAGACACTGAATGCAAAAAGGTTGAACAACTTGTTCAGGATCAAATTTTTTTTTAGCAGTTTCTTCTCACAACTCTACGCAACCTATACCAGAAATCCTTTTTTTTTTTTTTTTTTTGCTTACTTCAGCCCACGAGCTATTCTTTCATTCTACTCCTGAAAATTTATTCTTTAAAACTGTGAACTCAATTGAGAGTAGGGACTGTGTCTATGTTTTAATTGCAATACCCTCAGCATCTAGCATAAAGTCTGAATTCACTGTTGAATGAATACAGATAGTCCCTAATCTTCCTATATTATCTTGCTACTTCACTGATAATTATTCATAAGAAACTATAGTTCCCATCTCATAGTCCCATGTCCAAAAGAGGCAATGATACATGGTTACCCGAATGTCCCCTTAGGCAATTTACAACAGCAGTAATGCTTTGAATCTCAAAGCAAGAACTGCCCTATCCTCATCTGTCACTTCTAAATCATTGATTCTTTCATAAATACAGCTTACTTCTTAAACTAGGTTGTAAATTTCTTGCAATATGGGATTTTTTAAATGCTTTTTGGATTTCATGTGGTGGCTGCCATAGGTACTGTGCAAACAAAGAGATGCTCATTAAATAATTGTATTACGATGATTATATATTACACTAAAATTAATTATATACAGATACTTCGGAACTTTTCTTCTAATTATCACACCACCACCAGCTGCTGTTGAGTCAGTTTCGACTCATGGAGACCACATGTGTGTCAGAGTAGAACTGTGCTCCACAGGGTTTTCAACGGCTGATTTTTTGGAAGTGTATCACCGGGGCTTCCTGGTGAGGCACCTCTGGGTGGACTAGAACCTCCAACCTTTCGGTTAGCAAGGAGTATGTTAACCATTTTGTACCACCCGGGGACTCCTTTCTTCTGATTCCGTAAAAAACCCACTGCCATCAAGTCGATTCCAACTCATAGTGACCCTATACAGGCAATCTCAATTCTGTTTTTCCTTTTTTTAAAATAATTTCTCAACATTAAGATATTTCAGAAGATACTTGTGAAATACTGTCATATTCCAACATTGTATATGTGAGACAATTTATTTTAAAACTGTGACTAGAATAATTTTCTACTCATTTACTTTGTGCTACTCCCATAATCAAGAACTTTTCTCAGTTCTTTTCTATATAAAGAATTAAGTCTAAAATTTATTTTGATATTCAAAGTCTTACTGACCTCATTCTCACTTATTTCATTAAAAGGTACTCTCCATTTCATTTATTTTTCTTCATTTCTTTTTAAATTTTGAGATAATTGTAGATTCACATGCAATTGTTTAAGATATAATACAGAAGATCCCCTGTACCCTTTACTCAATTTCCCCTGGTGGTAACAGCTTGAAAAATTATAGTGCTATATCACAACCAGGATACTGACATCTATACATTCAAGATGTAGACTATTCCCACCACCACCACAAGGATCCATCATTTTGCCCTTTTATAGCCATACCCACTTCTTTGTCCTCCACCCCCTCCTTGGCATCTGGCAACCATGAATCTATTCTCCATTTCTATAATACTATCATTTCAAAGATGCTATATAAATGGAATCAAACCCTTTAGGATTGGCTTTCTTCAATCAGCATATTTCTCGGGGGACTGATACAGGTTGTTACATATGCCAATAGTTCATTGCATTATATTGCCGAGTCTATTCCATGGTATAGGTGTATCACTGTTTTAACTATTCATCCTTTGAAAGATATCTGGATTGTTTCTAGTTTTGGGCTATTATGAATAAAATGGCTACATACATCCATGTACAGGTTTTTGTGTAAACACAAATTTTAATTTCTTTGGGAGTACAACTAAATACTTAGCTTTTTTTTAGAAACTCCCACACTGTTTTACAAAAGTGGCTGTGTCATTTTACATTCCCCCAGCAATGTATGAGTAATCCAGTTTCTCTGCATGCACAGCAGTATTTGGTTTGTCAGTGTTTTTTATTGTAGTTATTCTGATAGGTATGTAGTGATATCTCATTTTGGTTTTACCTTGCACTTCTATAATGGCTAATGATGCTAATATTTTCATGTATTTATTTACCATCTGTATATTGTCTTCAGTGGAATGTCTTTTCATGTCTTTTGCCCATTTTCCAATTAGATTTTTTTTTTTTTTTCTGCTGAGTTTTGGGTGTTCTTCCTATCTTCCAGATACTAGTCCTTAATCAGATATGTGACTGTAAACACTTTCTCCCTCCCTTTTGCTTGTCTTTTAATCCTCATAATAGGGTCTTTCACAGAGCAAACTTTTAATTTTAATGAAATCTAATTTATCAACTTTTCCTTTTATGAATCATGCTTTTGGTGTCAAGTCTAAGAAAGCTTTGCCTAGCCCTAGGATTTGCTCCTATAATTTCTGCTAAAAGTTAAAAAGTTACATTTATATCCGTAATACATTGAGTTAATTTTTGTTTAAAGTGTTTGAGATTTAGGTCAAGGTTAAATTTTTGTCTATGAATGTCCAACTACTCCAACACCATTTGTTGAAACGGCTATCTTTCTTCCATTGACTTGCTTTTGCACTTTTGTCAAAAACCAGTTGGACATATTCGTATAGGTTTTTTTCTGAGCACTCTATTCTGTTCCATTGATCGATTTATCTATCCCTCCACCAATACCACACAGTCTTGATTACTGTAACTATATAGTAACTCCATTCTTTTAATAAATTGTTTTAACTAACTAGACAACAGATAAGTGGTAACTCTGGTGAAGGGTAAGACAGTACACAATACTGGGGAAGACAGCAAGACAAAGTCATAGAAGCTTCATAAACACATCCAAACCCCTTGAGGGACCAAATTACTGGGCTGAGGGCTAGGGACCATGGTCTTGGGAGACATCTAGCTCAACTGGCTTAACATAGTTTATAAGGAAAATGTTCTACATCCTACTTTGGTGAGTAGCATCTGGGGTCTTAAAAGCTTGTGAGTGGCCATCTAAGATACTCTACTGGTCCCACCCCAACTGGAGCAAGGGAGGATGAAGAAAACCAAAGACACAAGGGAAAAATTAGTCCAGAGGACTAATGGACCACAACTACCACAGCCTCCACCAGACTGAGTCCAGCACAACCAGCTGGTGCCCGGCTACCACCAACAACTGCTCTGACAAGGATCACAACAGAGGATCCTGGACAGAGCTGGAGAAAAATGCAGAACACAATTCAAACTCACACAAAAAGACCAAACTTACTGGTCTGACAGAGACTGGAGAAACCCCAACAGTATGGCCCCCAGACACCCTTTTAACTCAGTACTGAAGTCACTCCTGAGGTTCACCCTTCAGCCAAACATTAGACAGACCTATAAAACAAACCATAATACATGTAGCTCAACCACATATATGAGACTAAGTGGGCACACCAGCCCATGGGCAAAGACGAGAAGGCAGGAGGAGACAGGAAAGCTGATGAATGGAAATGGAGAACCCAAGTTTGAGAAGGGGAGAGTGTTGACACGTCGTGGGGCTGGCAACTAATGTCACAAAATAATATATGTATTAATTGTTTAATGAGAAACTAACTTGCTCTGTATACTTTCACTTAAAGCACAATAAAAATAAAAAAAATTTTAGCTATTCAGGTTCCTTTGCCTTTACATATAACTTTTAGAATAAGCTTGTTTCTATCTACAAAAAAATCTGGCTGGGATTTTGACAGGAATTTTGTAAAACCGGTGTATCAATCTGGGAAGAATTGATATCTTTATTATGCTGAGTCTTCCAGTCCATAAACATGGTATGTCTCTCCATTTATTTAGATCTTCTCTGATTTGTTTCATCAGTATTGTGTGGTTTTCAGCATACAAATTCTATATAAGTTTTGTCAGATTTATATCTAAGTGTTTATTTATTTTTAGTGATTGTAAATGGTAATTTATTTTTAATTTTGCTATCTAAAAGTTCTTTGCTATTATATAGAAATATAAGTGACTTGTACATGTTTATCTTCTATCCTGAAACTTTACAGAACTCAAGGAAATTTCAAATTTTATTTCTTTGAGTACTTTTTCAGTTCTGCCCTCTTTCTCTTCTCTTTCCAAGACTCATGACACGAATGTTATATCTTCTGTTACTGTCCCATGAGTCCTTGAGTCTCTGTTCATTTTTTTTTTGGTCTATATTCTCTCTGTTGTTCAGATTGGGTATATCTATTGTTCTATCTTCCAGTTCACTGATTCTTTCCTTTGTCTGCTGTTTATCCCATCCATTGATAGTTTTTTTTTTTTTCAGTTCTAAAATTTCAATTTGGCTCTTCTTTATATCTTTTATTTCTTTGCTCATACTTTCTATTTTTTTTCTGAAACTCATGTTTTCTTTTGTTTTGAGCATACTTGTAATTGCTCATCAAAGCATGTTGCTTTTGTGAAGCCAAACTGCAGGGATGGGATTTCCAACTCCCAACAAAGCCTCCACTGATATCTTCCTGGCTGAGAGAAGTAGGAGTGCCTCATCACTGCTCCCCATGTGGCTTCACTGACATGATGGGGATCTGACTTTGTTACCTCTGGACGGTGGTGAAAGTCCTGACTCTCCA